TGTTCTGATGATTGGCGCCAGTCCACAGAAGATTTTTGCAGGTCTAAAGGAAATTTTCTGCAACATGATGAATTTATCAAAAGTAGCAATGAAGTCTGCCATTGTGATCCAAAATTTGTTAAAGACATTCGCAGAATATAAATTATTGTCTGATGGAAAAGAGTTGGCTTTTCCACCAAACTCACACTTCAGAGTTCAGACACATTTTTGCATACTATAATAATTTATTTTGATTTTTTAATCCTGAGAAAACTTTCTCTAAGACCACACCTTTCTATTTTTGGAAGACATTTTCCCATACAGAGCTGCTTCATTTATTTTTGTTTTCTTAAAAAAGGAATCTTTCACATACCTGCCATAAACTCTTTCAAACAAAAATTTTTTGAGTCCACACAAAATTTATGAAACTTTGCTGGTCCGGTGAAATTTTTTGAAGAATTTGCTGGTTCGTGCATTTTTTTTGGGATTTTTCCATTGTGCAGTCCCAACAAAGGTTGTGGAACACTGGTCTGGACTCTAGAATAGCAGAATACAAGGTCTTCAAAATTCTTTGACACCCATGCTGACATTAACAAAAATGTATCAGATACATATGGACATTTGAGTAAAACAGGAATCTGGTCCAAAAGTTTTGAAACTATCCTCTCGCAGTTGGTCTACTTGAATAGCAGCAGAAAATAAAAAACCCTCGGATTCTTTGACACCCGCCTGGCAAAATGTCATTTGATTTGTGTCCCATTCACGCAGTTGGCCATAGGACACACTGAGGACCTGCAAGCAGACCTGATGAACGAATGCTACGTGACCCACGTTCACTACCAGGACTCATCAGAGGAGCCCAGAGGGAAGCTGAAACGCACAGAGGAGCAAATCGTGTCTTATTGTTACCCCGGGGATTTGCCGGGTTACGCAATGGCAGTGAGTGAGCACCTCGCCGTGACCGTGAATGAGCTGGCAAGCCTGGAAATCGACCCCTGGGGAACACGTATGTATTATTCTCTCAACTGCTTGCTGTTAAATCTTACAACGCTCTTTTTCCTTGACAAAAAAAGAACAACAACAGAAACGCTCCCCGATGCCATCCAGTCAACTGCAGTGTACAGAATTTCCATTTAAAGATACTGTATGTTTAAAGAAAAATTTTGTATTCAGCTCTACTTTAGATATTTATTGGATGCAAGACTCTTGGCGCTCTTTTTCCTAGAAAAACGAAACTTTCCAATGACATTGATGAGTCAAATGCGGTGTACAGTATGTCCATAGAAATATTTAAAGAAAATTTTGCATTCCACTCTGTGTTTTTACATTCGTTGGATGCATGGGGGTCAAAAATCGGAATTTTCTGAGTGCACTTTTTTTTTAATTAATAAAGGAAACAAAAATTTGAAGAGCACATACGTATCTGTAATTTTTCAGCTGTACTCTCCATATAGTGATACAACAAAATTCAAGGGACCAGAAAAAAAATGGCTGAACAGAGACTTCATTTGTAGGAAATGCATATAACATGGGAAGAGAACCTCATCATGGGATCAAAATAAAATTCATTATGCAGCAAAAATTGTTGTAAACAAGATTGTTGTAAACAAGATTTTTGTAAACAAGATTGTTGTAAACAAGATTGTTGTATATAGAGAGGACCCAACTATACATATATCTTTCACTGCTGTTATAATTTTCTTTCAAATATTTCAGGATTTCTGATGCAGTTTTTTTAGCCCATTTATCAACAGTTGATATGGTGCAAATTAAGTTAATTGGATTTCTGAAGAGACAAAAAATTGAAATTGCTTGTGGGTAAGCATACCTGATGCTTTGTTAAAATTGAAGAAGAGAAGATTGGATGCTTCCCATTTTTGGTAGATATAATAATTATCCTGATGAAAGCTGAAATGCAGTATTCAAGCTATTCCTTCAGTTGTTCGACCATCTCCTTCAGTCAATTTCTGGAAAACGGCCAACTTTGTTGAAATTTGCAGATATGTTCGAAAATGATGAGTTTTCAGTATTTCTCTCTACATTTCCCGGATATGTAAGCATAAAATTTGAAATTTGTTTTTGGGATGCGGGTGTTTTATCGTACAATATTTAAATAGGAGTGAAAATCCATCCTTTTGTCAGACCTCTTTTGAAGCGTCGTTTTTTTTAAGACCATTGATTTCCTGCAGCGAAAGGAATCCTGGCCAGAGCAGCACTGTCGTGCAATTCAGTCGAAGAAATGGTGGAGATTTTGACTGACAAAGGACACGGCATTTCCAGTGGACTCTCTTTCAATGTCATGACACTGAGTGAACCCAAACGCAGATTATTCAACATTGAAGTGGCCTGCAGGGAACGGGATCCCGAAGGGAATTTCTTGCCAGACAGGCAATCCAGAGTCAGTGTGCACGAAGTCAAGGAAAATGAGGTTTTCTTCCACTGCAACCTGTGAGACTTTTATATTTATTACAACTTAACAAAGTACTTTTTAATTCTTGTGTTAAATGTTTGAACGTCTCATGTGGATTTATCTGACTTTTGTCAAACATTTTTTTTCCTTTAAAAAATAAGCAGCCAAGTTTGCCGTTTAATCGTGCAAAATATAGTCGCAAATACCGTTTCCTTAATTGAATTTGACTTGTACTCTAAATCAGTTTTGATCCATTTGGTTACCCCAAAAATTTTCTTGAAAGCTCAAAGATTCTCTTTTACGTGAAAGAAACATTAGCAACAAATCAAAGGAAATCTTGTTCATTCACGAACGTAATACAGCCCTGTTTATTATTATTATTTATTTTGTATTATATTCTTCAATATCTGATTTTAATTCATTTGGCTTTAATTTTAATCCCTCGTTACCCCGAAAATGTCCGAGTGGCCCAAACATGCTATTGAAACATGAAAGAAATATCAGCAAAAACAAAAAATCAAAGGAAGTGCGACATTTGACTCGAGTTTTCAAGTAAAATACTTCATCGCATTAACCTTTGATGTTTTTCATATTCTAAATTCACGGAACCGCAACCCTTACACTTCCTTGTTATATAAAAAAAAATCATCCAGGTATCTTTTCATTTTGATTGAACATGAGAGTATAGTCCATTAATATTTTGTTGGCTCGCTGCTTTCTTCGTGAATTTCATTTCATCGTGTGGCTTAATTTTCAACAGTTTATGATTTATATCCTGACAGTCGAACTCATTTTTTTTCGAGCAGCTATACATGAATCGCAGACGATGGTGTAAATTTCTCGCTTGACCATTTTAAGAGGATATACGATTTATGCGAACAAAATTGATTTTCAAGACTTTGCAGATTGTTAAGGTACAGTATTAGCAATGAATATACAGTATTAAAGGAAATAAGTAAGTCTTATGGGAAATAAGTTTCCCACGGAAATTAGAAACTTGTCCAGTTGAAGAAGAAGGCCATTCTGAACTTCAATCCTGTGCGGAATTTTTTCTCGACACCAGCGGCAGTGTCGATTTCCCTGAGAAGGGACAAATAGCTCGAGTTTACCGAAATTGGCGCGTCTCGGGACGCGCCCGGGGCTGTAAATTAATCCCCTTGGCGGAGAAACAGGCGGGATCAATTAACTTGCCGAAGTCGGCACACCAACAATATNCTTCTGGGGCTCTCCAAAGATATTATCCAACCCTCCCTGTCGACTTTTTAGCTTAAAAACCCCTGATTTTGGTGCTGACAACACAGTCCAAATTTTGCTATCGCTGCGTTACGTCGTGTTCGTGAAATTCGTCCTAGCTGAGAAATTTACAAGTCCGCGAAAACTGTTGTGCATATTTTCTTATCAAAACTGTTGTGCATATTTATCCTGTTATATTTACCTGTCGATTTGAACAAAGGCTTGCGCTGTTTGGGAGAGAATCCCTGGTTGGTTCGCGCACCGGCCAATTGCTGTGTTGAATTCATTTCTATCTTTTGTACTTATCTTCAAAAATCCAATTTCTATCACTGACTTATAAGTACTAAATTAATTCCTGCTCACTTAATTATACCAAATAAGTACTCGCAAGGTGTACGGCTTGCCTTCAATTTTCTTCCTTCTCGAATAAAAACCGTACAAAAAACTGGTAGCAGAGCGTGGTTCTGCCAAAAAAAAAATCTTTTGCTTCCACTGCGCCTCTAAAAAATTCAAAATAAACTTGTGATTTCCTAGTTCCGATCGGACTTTATCCTCTCCTCAAAATTAAAATTTGTAGCATCTTTTCAAAAGGAAAACTCTTTTTCTCGAATCAAGTTTGTGTGCTGCTCTTCTCACGTGATCTGTTTCTGTATTTCACGTTCTTTAGAAACCTTCATCAGGTATCTAAAAAATTAACCCACTTATTTTTTCCTTATCCAGTGCCTTCTGTTCACCTTTGTGTCCTTCTCTAAAAATTCTGTCATAAACTTTTTTCAAACCCTATAAATCAGTGTGTGTTGTGTTCTTTATTTAAAAACAAAAAATGGTGAGGACCACAAGCCCGGCAGCCCAAAAACCGGGAATCCAAATTCTGGATACTGACGCTCTTGAAGTACATCAGTTTATGTCTGGGGTCTTCGAATCTCATACACAATCATTAAAACTTTTAGAAAATCTCTTTGCAAAAGTTAGGTCAATTCAAGAATCCCTCTGTCTTACCTAGTATCTAACCCTGAAACAGGGGGGATCTATACCAACTAAGCCAGATCTCTACTGGTGTAAAAAATTTAATGTTATTTTATCTCTTAACTCTCACCCAAAACCAAAATCTGGTAACACTTCAAAAGAAGATGTTGTCAAGAAAATACGTATTTACCTACCTTCCCCAAACCTGGGAAAACCCTTGGGCCCTGTGTGGTCACTTCTTAATATATGTCATCAAAACATGGGTCACCCATCCCCTTATTCTTCTCTTAATTTTATCCAACAAACCTTTTGCGTCAAGAGGGCTCGAACATTGGCCAAGAATATTGTGAAAAATTGTGAAAAATGTAAGCAACTTTATCCTACCAAAAATTCCGGATTTATTTTTCTCTCTTAGCCATCAAAAAGGAGATAACTTCTCTGGACCTAGAGATACCCTTTTTCCAAAAGAGTGACCTGCCTAAAAAAGGGAGAGGAGTTCACCTCGTCCCCACTTATGAACCCTCCCTCACCCTGTTCGGTTGAAACCCTTGAATTGACAAACCTTTCCAATTCCTTATAATAAAAATTCCAGAAATGGGCACACCAAAGGGGGGGGGGGGAGGTTGTCGGCAAAAAAGAGATCCAGAGATGGGTGCAAAAGGGGTATGGCTTTGTGTGAGTCCTAGAAGTAAGAAGGCTGGACCAATTGAGATGAATTAAGAAGCCAGTTTGCTTAAAAATTCAAAAAACTTGTTTATTGACGTCCCCAAATCCCAACTCTTCCCTCCACCCACATATATACGAAATTATACAAGATATCACACAAAAATTTGTACAAAAACTATGAAACAAGGGGTTAAAAACAAAAACACCCCCTTTTCTTCAAAACCTGACAAGATTCCTGATGTGCACGAAATCTAAACCCCCCTCCCCCACAAGCCAAACGAAATCTCCAGCCTTAGAGATAATGAATTTCTTTTGACGTGATCCTTTGACTCTGACCGTTGTTCCAATCACCATGCTTGATGAGCTGAGATGTTTGGGATCCGACACCAAGAACTCCACCGAAAAGACCTCCAAGAACATCTTGGCACTTAGAACTTCGTCCATTCTGAAATAGGTAGGAAATTTTTACATTTTAGTATGACTCCCAACAGAGATCCTGCTCAAAAACTCACTGTTTAAACGGATCCCCTCCTGCTCCGAACACGGCAGGGTTAATGTGAAAGGGCCCGTTGCCCTTGCAATTCTTAGGCCCATGATCTGTACAATGGAAATGCGGCAGGGCCGGGGGGATCCCAGGACTGGCCTTGCCATCACCCAACCACTGGGGGCATCTTCCAGCACATGCATAGGCCCCCTAAGTTTTTCCTTGGCACTGTGTCCATTCCAGTCCAAAGCAAATTGCTGCTGCATGCAGCTGGGCGAAGAATAGGTAGGCTCTTGAATGTATGT